GGGTATGTGGCGTTCGGAAACATTCCATAAATTGAAAGAGTAAGAGTATGTGGCGTTCGGAAATATTCCATAAAGTGCTACGATTTGGGATTTCGCGATTGAAAACCGAAATGATATTGATTTGTGCGATGTCGCCATGTCGGGCTATTTGCCAACCGAGCGCGCTAGCCGCTGTTATTTTGACAGAATATGATACCTCTACACTTTTCAGCCGTAATACAAATGCGCGGATTGTAATCACGTATTCATATCGTTTAATTTAGCTTCAAAAACTTATTTTGTTAAATGTAAAATGCGCAGCATGTTGCGTACATTATCAAAGAAAAAAGGTTGACTTTATTAGACTGAAATAAGCAAGATTTCCCGTTACATACATGATTTACTGATACCGAGGCGGCTTTGCATGTGCTCTGCCTTTGGCAACTGACTATGATACCATTGCGCTCCGCGGGAACGAACACGAATAACATGATTTTTATCAAGTTTTTGAAGCTAAATTAAACGATATGTATATGATTACAATGCGCGCTGAAAATTACGGCTGAAAAGTGTAGAGGTATCATATTCTGTCGAAATAAGAGCGGCTAGCGAATGGCAATTAGCCCGACATCGCACAAATCATTTCGGGTTTCAATCGGGAAATCCCAAATCGTAGCAATTTATGGAATATTTCCGAACGCCACATACACATAAAATGTTTCGGTCTATACCTTTAAGGGCCACGAACATATACTAGGTCTAGGAGATAAAATAGCAAAATTTGAGGCTCGAGCGTTGGCCACTATTAATTTGATACTAGGCACTGCAGCGTAAAATTTATAGCTCATATGTTTGTAGACATATGCAATCGACATAATTATTCGCGACGTTCATGATAGGGACTATAACACTTCCAAAGCTAATAAACCTATATCATATAACTTAATTAAACAATACATTTATACATCAAACAATACATTTATACTCTATAGGCTTATTAGACTATAAGAAACGGAAACATAATGGCAAACATTTACTCGTTATACCAGGTTATACTATAGATAACAACAAGATAAGAAATTATTTTATTACTGGAGATTTGTTGCGTTAAATTTTCCTGTATTTATCTAGTGTATAAATGGAAAAAGTACGAAAAAAATATTAAAAATAAAAATAATATCTTCGTGAAAAAATGCATTTTATGACCCACGACTTTACCCACGACAAAACACGACTTTTAACCCACGACACACGACACACGACATATAGGGACACTCTACAAGAACAAATTATGCAAAGCACACCATTCCTGACAAAGGAGTTTTAATAGTACCTAGAATAACTTAGATTGTAACAAGTCAAACACCTATAAAGTCATGCTGCACATTTAGTCATTTAGATCATACGTTATCACACTTCTGTAAATAGATCCGCGTTCAATATCAAAAGTATACATTTCTACATATGCTTCTAAAGTATACTAGGCAATGCTGTTTCGAAACGTGCCACATTGTTGTTTCTGGCTTTACCACTGCTTGCGTGCTTGCGCAGTTGCATGGGTTTGTGAAAATTAAAAATCGCAGCACTATATAGATTATAGTCCTCGGGAATGCTCAGTTAAAATGCGAGCTGCTGTAAAAACTCACTAGCATGACCGATTTTACGAATTAATCGCACATTTCCTTTATTTTCCCTGAGGGTATCTTGTTTAGACAAAGCTAGGAGTCGGACCAGTCGGTGCGTGCGTTCTTGCCCTTGAAGTAAATCCGAATCGAGGCACTCGTCAATATACATATACCGTACAAAACGAGCTTAGTTACAAAACTGTCGACAAAACCAACGCAACCATTTGAAGAGGTTTAGTAGCTTGACTGAATATATATATATATATATATATAATATACTATAGGAACCTGTTGCCTGTTGGGACTTGTATCGGTTATAATAATCTCCAGACTGTAGCTGAACCTGCATGTGTTCATTGTTTCATCATGAGCTAAATTGACCAATGTAACCACCATATATAGCTCCGAATTTACATTAAGTTCGAACGATTACCATGATGATATAATTAAAATTTGCCAATTCGGCATTTCTCTAAACTTGGACTTGTCGACTAATCTCCAGCGCCCATATCGCCATATGGAAGCTAGATAACGCTAAACATTTTTCCAAAATCTGCGAAAGAGGTTGGATAGAACGACAGAGGAAACATCGAACATTTGCGCAAGTACACAGTCAGACAATTGCATTTATTCAGTAATATTATAGTTTAAATTAAACAACACCAGGAAATTTAAAATCGCTGGATATATGTTGCAAAGTGAAACACTTCATAATCAAACACTTGAAATGTGAGCTTGTAAAGGTATACGCAAGTTTTGTATAAGTATACATCCCCCATGTATACTTCATTTTTGTAAAATGCTATGAAAAATTTGGACTTACCTGTCATGTGATGTTCGTATGATTCACCGCCAAGGTCGAACAACGAATGAGGAACCAACCTGTTGACACAAACACTTCATACATAAAATAATTGTTGCACAATGCAGGCACGTGACCAACGCCCACAAGCATTGTGAAGGTATCCCGTCGTGTGTGCTGACGTGCTTGCATAAAAAGACATTTGTCAAATAAATTTTCAGTTGGAGTAGCCGAACGAAAATTTATTTGACGAATGTTGTCACAAACGGTCTTCACTCGAAACATCGAAATTCTCCTTATATATTTTAATGTTGTTGCATCTCTACCAACGAAAGCTTGTACATATTCTACACACGTTTCGTAGTGGTGGTTTTTTAAAATTTTTCACCTATGCACGTATTAAACTCACAAGGGACACATGCTTGCAAGAATAACAGGATCTTATTGCAAATTATAACGATGAACCAAAATAATACATCTTTCAAAAGTGTAAATTAACATTGAAGGAGGCGATTTGCATATCAAGCTAAGATCGTCTGAAAACAATGATCCCGCATGGCCTCGCTGACAGCAATCGTATCGCCAGGATCCAAGTAAAACAAATGTCCCGTTAAACAAGCAAAGACTTTAATATGCATGATAATATTTAGTACATATTTTTCCTTATATTAATTTGGCGAAACCTACTAGAAGGGCTTTTACTTTTACTTAAGGGCTACTACTCAGGCTTTTTACTTTAGGCCCCTTATTTAAAGTTCGTATTTAATAATTAACAATTAGATTAATAACATATTTACAGTCAAATCAAAGAGATATTATTTTCAGAATAAAACAGGAACGATAAATTAAAGTGGAAATTAAATAGGCATGTTGCGAGATACATGTACAGGATATGCAAATAGAATATTCAACGGCTGAATTTCGCCGACGTCAGTACCGTACGAGGTTGTAAAATGTTTTCAGAGTAATCAGAGACTTATCATGCCGTGTTCATCAAAAAATGCTGCTTAATTTGTTTTATGAAGACGTGTTATTGAGAAAGCATATCTTTAATTTTTATTTTAGTGAGTCCATACATCAACTCCATTATCCCCGAGCCACGCGTAGGGCGAAGCCCGTGGCAAGGGTACTAATTCCGCTCGGCTATTTACACCCGGGGAAAGGAAAGCATTAGCGAAGTCTAAAGTTCATCAATGATCGCTGGCGCATGGCTATGAATGGGTGGTCATCTCACTGATCTAAAAGATATAGCTGTTTGCTAGGTGTGAAGCAAGCATGGCAAAGATTAAAAAAACATGCATGACAGAAAGCTTCAGACATCTTTTTACACAATAAGTTATAAATCACCTTTTTCAAATTTTTAAGAAAGTGTCGGAGAAATCCTGACGTGCATTCTAATTAAATCAGTCACAAGACATCACAGGTCAATGAACATCTAAAACACAATACGCCCCCTGCTTGCTATCTGCAATTCGTGAGAAATTTATATTCTGGATAAGATTAGCCGCGTAACGAAAACAGACTGAATATTAACAAACGTTAATTGTACCATTATACATCCGTTTGAAAAATATATAAAACTTTGCTTTTCTATTTCCTGTAATTTGGTATTAATGATTGTGCAACAAGAATTAATTAATAAATAGTATGCGTCATGCTTGAAAGACATTTATGCCAACAGTTTTATAAATAGCGCCTAGCTGCGTGCAGCCTGAATTCGGGCTGCGAGCAAGCTATTTCATGGGCAAACAAAAATAAAACTGATTTTGCACATGTTGCACAACTTGTGGACTTCCTGAATAATTATAATTAATCCAATTCAAGCACGTGTACAAATCATATAATATCTAAACTCTTATCGCTTACGTATATTTTCTTGCATAATATTCATAATATTTTCTCGCATTTTCCCCATAATCGAATTGGAAATCGAAATTCGAAACCTTAAAATGAAACTATAAGTACGATAGTTTACAGTGTCAACAGCAAGATTGAAGTAAAAAAACATTGAAATGGACTTTAGCTTTGCTGAATATGCGATCGTTGTTTTTATTTCCTGACACGGTTGAGATTACAAATTGAGACAAATGAGTTATTTGAGCGTTCAGAATTCGCAGCACCTAATTATGGTTTCATTTTGAAAGGTTACCCAAGTTGACGAAATTAGTGACGAAGGGTACTAATTCCGCTCGGCTATTTACACCCGGGGAAAGGAAAGCATTAGCGAAGTCTAAAGTTCATCAATGATCGCTGGCGCATGGCTATGAATGGGTGGTCATCTTGTTAGATTATGTAATTTATTGTTGTAAAAGAAACTAAAAGGTTCACAAAATATAGTTTTCCCGCTTGAAAACAACAACTACACCGATAATGGCGGATCTAAATAACGTTCAACGAACGTATAGTCACGTGTCCGATGTACTGTATATATTAACTGTATTACGGTACTTTATGCTAATTTATGCTAAATAATATCAACCATATAAATATAGTTTAAACTTTAAACTTTAAACACTAAAAGTACTTATCTCAACACCCCCACTCAGACTCAGCTCGTCCTTAACTATGATGAGTCTGACGTGTTGTTGATGTTCTTAATTCCCTAAGAGTACTGTTCTGTGTTTTGCCACTTTCACTCGAGGTAATGATTTCGTCAGAATGTCCGCAGTCATTTCTTCGGTTGGAACATAATGTATCTTTATTTCTTTATTTTCTACCCTTTCTCGAATGAAGTGTAGCTTCGTGTCGATATGTTTTGACCGTTTATGCATCACGGGATTGTGACACATCTTAATGCAGGATTGGTTGTCTTCTCCAATATCTGTCGCTTTCTCCATTGGGAAACCAAAATCCTTTAGTAGAGCTCGTAAGTAGATTGCTTCTTGTGCAGCAGCCGCCATGGCTTGATATTCCGCCTCCGCTGTTGATAAGGCAACGGTTGCTTGCTTCTTTACCTCCCAACTGATGGCACCTCCATTTCCTTCGAATTTAAAGTAGTATCCAGTTGTCGATTTGCGATCGTTGAGATCTCCACTCCAATCTGCGTCCGAATCGCCAACAATATCACAGCTGGAATTCTTCACGAATGTTAATCGTAAGTCGGTAGTTCCTTTGAGGTATCTCAGTACGCGCTTTGCTGCCTTCCAATGTGATTCGTCAGGTTTATCGAGAAATCGTGACAGCTGATTAACAATATTTAGAATATCTGGACGGGTTTATTTGCCAATGAATAAAAGAGAGCCAACTAAACTTCTATACAGCTTCGGATCTACTAATTTCTTTCCTTCGTTACTTTTGACTAGCTTTAGATTTACTTCTCCGGGTGTTGCTACAGCTTTGCAATCACTCATGTTAAATTCTTGGAGAACAGTTTCGATATACTTCATTTGATCCACTGTAATCTTGTCGTGCGATCGCAGGATTTGCATTCCTAAGAACCAGTTTAGGTCGCCACGATCGTCCATCTTGAAATTTTCATTTAACATTGATTTAATTTCGTTAATTGCTTCTTCGGTCGCTCCAGCCACGACTATATCATCTACCCAGACTAACACATAGGAAAATGTTCCATTTTCTTCCTTTCTTACAAATAGGCAATAGTCGTTGCAGCTTCGTTTGAATCCTTTCTTGAGAAGTAGACTTGTCAGAGCTTCATACCAGTTTTTCGCAGCTTGTTTTAGACCATAGATTGATTTGTTCAATTTGCACACAAGCTTTTGTCCTGAGCTTGCTTTCTTGACAAACCCCTCTGGCTGCTCCAGATAAATTTCTTCTTCTATTTTGGAATGAAGGTAGGCTGATTTCACGTCCATCTGACCAAGATATAAGTCCTTTCGTGCTGCAGTTGCTAATAGAATTCTAAAAGTTTCTGGCTTGCATGTTGGAGCGTATGTGTCAAAGAAATCTAGGTCTTCGATTTGAGCATAACCCTTTGCTACGTATCTTGCCTTGAGCGTATCGACTTGGCCGTTTGCTCCATACTTTACTTTATACACCCATTTTCCAGGTAAGACTTGTTGATCTTCTGGTTCATCGACTAATGTCCAGGTATTAATTTTATTGTCCATTAGTGACTCGTACTCTGCTTGCATAGCTTTTCTCCAGTTTTCTGCATGCGGTGAACGAATTGTTTCATTATACGACTTGGGTTCTTGTATGTTTTCCTCTTTTATTATGTTAAACGTCTAGGGTAATCCATATCGTTCCGGGGGGCGACGATTTCTGCTTTCTCTGGGGAGTGCGACTTCGTCTTCCTCAGGGTTTTCTTCGACTTGATGTGGATTTTGAACAACAGGTGTCTTATCATTTCCCCCCACTCTAGCTTGGACCGGTATCTTTGTGCCTTCGTCATTCGAGCGTTCATCTTCAAAATCCATGTTGGGACTCACAAGGTTTGGGTTGTCCGGACTCATCGTTTCTCTGGCTGAGAATGACTGGATTTCGTTCTCTTTGAAGATGACATTACGTGCTTTGATGATCTTTTTTGAGTCGAATTCTTGCAAGATGTAGGCTGTGCTTTTGTCATCATAACCGATAAATTTGGCTTTCACCGATCTCGAATCCAGCTTCTTCATGTTGATCTTTCTTTTCATAACATATGCCGTGCAGCCAAAAACTCGTAGGTGGTTGCGCCTTGGTGGTTTTCCGGTAAAGAGTTCAAAAGGACTCTTTCCATGGTTGCTATTGGCAGTTACTGTAAGATTTCGTATGTGAGCTGCTTGTGAACTTACCCAGTAGCACTTTGGTAACTTGGCTTGGATTAACAGAGACCGTCCCATTTCAACTACAGTTCGATTGAAGCGTTCTGGAACAGTAAATTCTTGCTTTATTTTTGAGTCTCTGCAGTAATCCTTGAATTGCTTCGATGTGTATTCAGCTCCATTGTCAGTTCTCAGTCTTTGAGGTGTTCCATATTCAGCTACATACTTTTTAAATTTTTCAAAAGCTTGGGATTTCTTGCTCATAAACTTTACGATGGAATGTTTCGAGTATTCGTCGATAAATGTAATCGCATATCTGGATCCACTGAGGCTAGGTACTTCAAATGGACCGAGTATATCTGAGTAAACGAGTTTGAGAACTTTCTGCGACTTGTTCTGCGTTTCTTTCGGTACAGGTTTACTAGATTGCTTTCCAAGTGCACACGTTTCGCATACTTCCTTCAAATTATCTTCACAGCCAATGGTGCGTTTGACGTCATCCTTGTTTAACTCTTTGACGGCAAGACGGTTTCGCATTACATTACGACTTAATTTTTCTATTGTAAATATCTCGGCGAGTATTTACCCCCCTTTTAAATAAAACCCACCATTGAAATCCTCACAAAATAACCTTTCGAACGGGGGGTCAAGTGCCGTCAAAACATTACACAAACCGAAACAATCATATATTTACTCACCGCTTGGCCAAAGATTCTGAATTTCATATCCAGATAATCTTGAATATCTCTTGAACTTTTCGTCATTGTCTGAACGGCTATATGTGTAAAATACTCTTTGTATTCAAGCGCTTTCGTGTACAAAATTTCGTTTGAATACGGCGAGTAGAAATATTTATTTTGAATTTTTCAAGATGCGGGTTTTACTCGCACTTGCGTACATTGCGCAATAATTGGCCAATAAGAAGCTCCTGTGGCCGGGATGACGTCAAACTCACGCGTGTAGGTGCAATCTGACCTTGCGAACCATTTCTGGCCTTTGCAGGGTCATACGATACAAGCTTCGAATTGTTTTGACGGTTTTCTGTCGTACTTCCGGTTGGGATTAACTCACTTCGAGCTCACAGTCGGACAAGAAATGGAAATATATTGATAAAATATACAGATTTGAAGATACAGGCTTGCAAATAACACTCTAAATAGTGTTTTTAATGGGGATTCGAACAAGACTATTACAAAGACGATATGTTCGAAGGGGCCGAAGTTATTTTCGGCGAAAGGTATGGCTAAGTTTATATTTTGGAAGTGGATATTCGTCCGACATTTCCATAATCATTAAACTCGTTAAATATAAAACTGCGTAAATTTAACTGAAATTCAAGCGATTCCTCCGTAGTGTTGTGGTTTAGGCACCCGTATTGTGTGCGCGGAGTTCTGGGATGAATTTCCTGCTCGTGCCACAATTTTATTATTTTTTTTTTATACTTTTTTTTTCTTCGTGATTTTCGCGTACGAAACCGTCGAAACGTATAGCGTATATAATAATATGTTGTTGCTTCGTTCTTAAGAAACAACGCAAGCATTTAGTGGTTTAGTGTTAGCTTTTAAAGCGTTGTCGGATTAATAGCCGTGAAGCAAGAAGATCCGGTGTCGGACGAATATCCACGGGGTTATATTTTTGTTCAGACAATTGCGTAATTTGATACAATATGATCGTGTTTGACTTGAAAGGCCCATAAATCGCTACAATATTGATAATGGCTATAGCTATAGTGACGAATTAGTTGAATCTTTTATTTCTGAATCGAATGGTGGTATTTCTGTCTTCATAGCATGCACCGAACCGAAGATATGAACATCCAATCATTCATCCGCTAGCGGTGAATGATTTGGGATTTGCCGTCAAAGAGTTTAAGTGTCCGAGCCTTTGGTGCCACAGATTAATACCTCCTTTGATTGCTGCTTTATTTGTGTTGTAAGTGGTAGAATGACATGCACTGGACCTTTGAAAGGTAATCTTCAGATAAAATAAACCACTGTCTTCAGTGAGATCGACTTGTGGACCATAATTTAATCTTAACTTTGCTTCACTTTTATTAAATACGAATTTGTGTCCAAATCTGACGGATCGATTGACAGAAAGCAGGTTCACTTCATAGTTTGGCACATAAAGTACGTTTCGTAGAACCATTTCTTCCTCTTTTCCATTTTTCAGATGAAGCTTTACTGGTACATCACCAATTCCTTCAACAGGAGTAAAATTTCCCTTTGGATCTTTAACATTTTTGATGCTGCAAGGTTGTAAGTTTTCAAACAGTTCCTTTTGGCTAATGATGTGATCAGTACAACCAGTATCGATAATGAGATGGTTTGGTTTGCCAGTACCACTGCTTGTTTTAGTACCACTGTTCATACATTGAGAATATGATGCAAATGAGTTGGGTTCTTTTGTGGATTTATCAGGTTTACTTGAACCTCTGCATGCTTTTGGTAAATGTCCCTTTTTCTTGCACTTTGAGCAGTAAGCTGAACTTCTTTTACTACATTGCTTGGCGAAATGTCCAGGGTTTCCGCATACAAAACAATCTCCCTTCGGCTTGGTTGGACCTTTGTTTCTTCCTGACGTATTTCCAGAATACATAGCTGTTGCACTATCTTCTTTTGCTTGATTTCTTTGTAGTCGACTATCATCATAATTTTGTAAACGTGTTCGTAATTCGGTGAAATTTGCTGCAGGATTAAAACTTTCCTGTACGATGAAGTGCTCATATTTCTCTGGAAGTCCGTTTATAACTAAGGCATTGAATAGTGTTTCTGATATCTTTTCACCAGCTTCGGTTAATCGAGACATTAATTCTTGCGCTCGTATAAAATATTCGGATAATTTTTCATTTTCATTTAACTATAATCGAGAAATTTGACGAACTAGACTTACTACAGTTGGCCTTTTCCCCGTTCCCAACACCATCTGATGACAGGCAATCATGTCTTATATATAAAAGACTATTATTGTCGAGGGCTAAAGCAATATGACACCATACCGTATTATTTCTTTCTTCAATTTCTTCGATTTGTTTATTTCTTTGTTGAACTTTTGCCTCCCATTCGGCCTTCTGCTCGTCTGAAGCATCCCCTGCTAGCGGTGCTATCTCTTCCGGTGCGACTTCTTTCCCGAGAAGCGCTTTGTATAAACCTTTCGTTTGCATATACGCGGTGAACTTTGTGCTTCATGCTGGGTAGTTTTCAGCTTTTCCGTTAAAAACTAGCCATTTTATCGTTTGGCTATCCATTACCACGATCCTGGGCCCATAACCTGTTAGATTATGTAACTTATTGTTGTAAAAGAAGCTAAAAGGTTCACAAAATATGGTTTTCCCGCTTGAAAACAACAACTACACCGATAATGGCGGATCTAAATAACGTTCAACGAACGTATAGTCACGTGTCCGATGTACTGTATATATTAACTGTATTACGGTACGTTATGTTAATTTATGCTAAATGATATCAACCATGTAAATATAGTTCAAACTTTAAACACTAAAAGTACTTATCTCAACAGACTGTGAGAACGATCCGAAAACGTTAGTGTGGACGCAGACAGGTGAATGCGTTTTCAAAATATCAAAAGCGGAGGGATTCGAAAACTTAATACCAACGTTATTTCGAATAGGAAATTGGAAATTGTATTGTCATTCTTGTCATAGATAATTAACATTTATACCTGGGACTGAAGGAAACAGTATATTGTGTCGAAGGTCCACAAAACATACTGTTTCCCGACGTTACCAGTCAATAAGTATTATATTATATTATATGCCAAATTTCAAAGAAAACAAAAAAGCGAAGAAAAACTCCATAATTTGCTCCTGAACTGAACGATTTTGTTATTTCATGGTCGATAACATAGTACTTGTTAGAACAACCTTGTGACAATTCTGATAATGCCATCAAGCTTGTTACAAGTTGTTAACAGCTTGTTCCAAATTCGTTACAACAACTGGGAACAAGCAGTGCGAAGACAACTTGTTGACAGCTTGGGAACAGATTTGTAACAACTTGTTTGCAACAGATTTGTAACAACTTGTTAGCCGTCGCCTTCTCACTGCGGCGGAGCGAAATAGTTTGAAATTAAAACGTCACATTTGTTGCAACAGTTTGAGCAGGGTTTCTAAACGGAGCGAGACGAAAACGGAGCTTTTGGCAGTTTCGTTTGACCAGCGGTGCCGTGTTTATTTTGCTCCAGTTTAGTACTCAGGCGTCAAAATGGCTAACTTATTTTGCTTTCTTTCCTTTGGAAATCTTTTGATAAGCACTTGCGCTAGGAGTTTGGCAGTTCGTGTGCACTAGTAAAGCAGAGTTTGGCTAGTTCACTGAATAAAAACCACTGCTCTAAGCAGATCGCTTCGCTATATCCTTTAGTCACTCGAAGGTAGTACCGAATAGTACCGAAGGTACTAGTGAGTTTGGCAAATACAACAGCAACGACAATTGGAAGATGTGATCATCAACAATAGAATTGCGACTATAAATTGTATTCCCTTAGCTTCAGCATTGAAACTGCTACATTATTTACATCATTCTAGTAGTATTGTTATTCTATTGAGTCAACTTTGTGTAAAATATATTATTTATCTTATTTCAGCCATGAACAGTTGCGAGATCAAGTCGGAGGAGAGTGACTTTTTTCAAGAGTACATGGACTTGGAGGAGTTCATTGATGCCTCAACGACCGATGTTACGTCACCTGGGTCAATACAATCCCCGTTTGGGACAGATACTTCTTCTTCGTGTCAAATTCTTAATGGTCATGCAGAATTGGAGACTGCCACATCTGTCAACGGGCAACATAGTTTACAAGGACGGCAATTGGTCAACAAAGGCCTAATTGGTATGCAAGGAATGCCCAATTTAAACGACCTCTGCCCGAGAAAATTCACTAGCTGCACCCGTCAAAACCTCACTGCGGATAAACGAAATACAGCAAATACACTAGACTGCGATTCATCGTTTGAAAATGGTGTGTTAAAAGATAGGAGATATTGGGATCGGAGAGAGAAAAATAACATTGCGGCAAAAAGATCGCGCGATGCAAAACGACTAAAAGAAACGACGGTTCTGAAACGATGGACAGTGCTCGAGGAGGAAAATAAACGGTTGAAAGAGCAAATTTCGAACATGAAAAGACGTTTACATGCTGCAACTGGTGGGGAAAATAATCTTGCTGTCTAATAGATTATTGATTAAGAGTAGCTTTGGCTGAAGATTCGTGGCAGAGGCTTAAGGCGGTTTTCCAGTCCTCGCACGAAGCTCCTCGCAGCTCGCTGCGAGTGCTTGCATCTAATTAAAATGAACTGTTTAGCATTGTGATTGGATGAAAGTGCTCATGCATCACTCGCAGCGAGCTGCGAGGAGCTTTGTGCGAGGACTGGAAATCCGCCTTTACGCCGAAATTGTGCTGTACTTTTGTAGAGTCCTAGCTGCTAGTGCTACCAGAGATATGTCCAGTGTAGGCACTGGAAGACTGCTTTAGATTGGTATTAACTAGCTTACCACCTGTTCAGTTGATAAGCAGGTGCTAGCAGGTGCCTATACCACCTGTGTCAAGTGATGGCAACTGGTAGACTTATCCGGGGTCTTAGTGTGTAGCCATGTATACGTGGTTCAAGCAATAGCAACTATTTTTTATTCAAACATTTTATAATGAAAACGAGTTTCTCTCAAGTGCGTACACACTCATCTAGGGGGCTTATTTAGTATAGACGGCCGGCCAAGCTTGCAAAAAATGAAGTTCGATGGCAATTCTTTGTTAAAAGCAAGTAACATCGCTAAACACATGGGACTATGCATACTTATAATGGTTTGGGGTGTTACCAGGCTTAATTCGCAGTTTAAGTGCTAAAATTGAAGCATTTTTGACCACAGGTAAACCCGCTTTGTTATGATGTTGAAATATATTGAAATCTACAAAGTTCTTTTTCCCTGTTGCCATGCAACAAATAGACCATTCTCATTGGCTGTTACTAATTAGTCTCGTCCGCCCATTGGTTAAGAACACCGGAAATTGCATGTGCGATACGGCTGAAGCGCAGACTGAAGTGTAAATAAATACATAAATATAATTCTTGACAAAATACGGAGATTTAAACCAATAAGTTTGATTTTTACTTATATTTCTGCTTTATTAATACACATTTATACATACTCCTAGCTGTAAGGTTTCTTACATCCTAGGGCATCACAGGAACATCCCAGGAGTGCAACGCTGACTAGTTTTATAGGGTTTACAAGCACCCGTATGGCATTTTTTAATGCAACCACAATTAAGATATCAAATTTTACATGAAGACGGTATAGACGGATTTCAACATCCAGAATCTGGATGTTATGCTGATTGGCTAAGAGACGATAAAACGCATCATGTGATTCAAACCGGAAATATATGACCGGCGTATGTAAACACCAAAAATAGAATTTGTAATTTTGTCAATATACTGTTAAGAGTGCTTTATTTCTGAAATTTATTTTCAATTAATTCAGCCTAAAAATGACAAAATAAGTACGAAAAGACGTTGAAAACGCTTTTGCAGCAACATTTTACTCGGTATAAAACTAAAACTACATAGCTGTAGTAGAAAGCGTGTCTAAATATCTCGCCGTAATAGTCGCCGTAGAACGAAAATATGTGGTGTCGGAAATTTTCAAATATTTAGTTCCAAAAAGCTGAAGCCTTATTTATCAGTTTATTGCCGAGCTGTTTTCCAAGACCTGCAAGGATATAGTAGTCAGCTCGCTCGAACTAATATGCCAACATCAGGCAGAAATTGAAGACAATAGCCGTTGTGTCAGACGCAGTTGAAGCGAATAGCTGTCTCGAATAAACTATTAACATGACACGAGGACCGAGGAAGAAATCCTATTCAGAGCGCCGAATGTTGTCTCTTTAGACTCCTGGAAAAAGCCATCGAGCTATGGTTCCCCGAATGAGGCATACTTTACGCTTAGAATTCCATCATGTGGATATTTCGACAAAAACATACCGATTTTTCTCCGTATTTGTTCAAATTTATAGAAAACTGCAAATAACGAAATTTGCGTATTTACATACCTGCAGCACAGAATAAGGCACACAGAAGGGCCACCCTGGCCGCCATCTTCCTAGCCAGTCGATTACATTTTCTGGCCAATAAACGCGCTGTATTGGCTGGCCGCTATCTTCCTGGCCAGTCAATTGCATATTTTTGCATAGAAAAATGGTGACACGTTGCACCGCTGAGTGGCCCTTCTGGTACTGATCTTTATTCTGTGCCTGTAGCGGACAGCCGGAAATATGCTACAACCGGAAATAATTTTAATCCCCGAGCCGACGGCGCGAAGCGCCGTGCGAGGGTGCTAATTCCCCCCGGCTATTTACACCCGGGGAAACGAAAGCATTAGCGGCATAGAGATTATAAATAACACTAGAGGAGGCATTGTAATCTTAATTCAGTAAAAAAAAGGGAACGCGACTATTGGGGGGCAAATTCAAGTCCCGGATGTGTATTCGTGTTCCCATTGGTGACGAGATTCAAATCAGCCAATGAGAGCACGATTTAATATCCGGGACTTGAATTTGCCCCCCATTAGCTGCGTTCCCAATTTTTAAACTCGATGCCTCCTCTAGTGTTATTTATAATCTCTATGATTAGCGGAGTCTAAAGTTCATCAAATATCGCGGGCGTGGCTCACCAACGATGTTTCGGTGGGTGGTCATCCTCACTGATCTCAAAATATGTGGCGGACTGTCATGAATAGCGAAAACTGATTGGTCCAATTTAAAGTTTGCATTATAACGACTGCATGACGACAGCGAAATAGCAAACATTTCTTGATTTGATCACAGAATAGGAAGTTATACCAGAAGCGTAACTCGAGCAAATATTTGTCCGCGTTTTTACAAGCGATTCGTCATCAATCACGCCATCCTGGCTAGTACAACCGGCACTTTGTACCTACCAAATCCTGATAAAACTTCCGGCTGTACTAGCCAGGATGGCGTGGCCTGACGTGAGCGAGTTAAAATTTTCGTGGACGTCAAACAATAAGGGAAACGACTAGAGTTACGCCACAGAATAAGGTACACAGAAGGTCGACTCGAGTAACGCTGCCACGCCATGATTCATCATCAAAATGCTGACGCCATGGTCCTAGCCAGTGCGGGTTTGAGAGGCATTCCCCCCTGGACATCCGCCATTTTGAATGATATCAGGGGGGTGAATGCCTCTCAGACGCGCACTGGCTAGGACCATGGCGTCAGCATTTGATGACGAATCACGAGTTACGCCAAAATCATAGGAAAATCATAGGAAAAACGAAGAAGTCGGCCTTCTGTGTACCTTATTCTGTGGTTACGCTTCTGGTATAACTTCCTATTCTGTGATTTGATGATTGATAAATTTCTTGCAAATATCACAAATATATTTCATTTTCGCTCGCATTTTTGCAAGATTTTGTAAATTTCAAGAAAGAAAGGGCGAAAGAATCTGCTAAAAGAAGTGAGCCGACGTTAACGAAGGTAAGTTTGTTTTAAATATTGATTTTATAATGGATTTAATTTAAAACCCGACGGCCTTTGCATATATGAAACAACTAAGCAAGACAGCATATTATTTCAGTGTATCTTTAGTAATATTGATTCCCTTTCTTATGATATTGAATTTTTTAAATAAAAAAGAAAGCAGAGTTATTTGCAAGCGAGAATTTGAAGTCATTTTATTGCAAACTCAAAGTTTATCGATAAAGCCGTTTTAAAAGGCAGTTTAGTTTTATAAAGAACACTAGTGACTTTAAAACGTTTTGCGAAGCGTTTGTGGTTGAATTCTACCTTAAATTGAGGCTTATATTACGTATAATAGCATACCTAACATATATATGTTGGGGAATTAATACTTTTGTAATTAAAAGTGATATTTTTTAGGCGATTTTTCATTTGTAAGAATATTCTTAAAAAATTATCGTGTTACCATGACAACTACTTCAGATACTTCATGTTCGGAAAATACAATGGTTTTGTCTGTTTGTCAGCAAGGCGAGGGTTTCTGCATGCATGTATTTTCTAATTGGCTGATATTCTGGGGGTGGAAAGCCCGTAGAGGCGAATTGTGGCAGGATCTCTTTCAATACCGAGGGCCTGATACTCAGGTTAGATCACAGCGGCCCAATCTCAGAATGAATGATCAGGTGTTGCGGGTTTTTAACGGTTTTTATAAACACATTTATAGTCAACCAAAACTATTTTAAAAACATTCTTAAATTAGTCAAATAAGCCCGGGGTGGGACAGCATATGGTAAGCCCGGGGTGGGACAGCATATCAAATCCGACGATAGTTTGTCGCTTGATGCTGTCCCACCCCACGTAAGGCGGTAAGGCGTTATTGTCAGTATGTATTGATTACGTCACGTCCACGATCGGGCCCGAGTAGCCCTAAGTCGTGCCGCCAGTGATTAGCCTTTGACTATTATATTATATATAGATGAGCACACACAATGTAGGCCACAGAAAATGTTACATCAACCGCTTTAAATGAGCTCATGGAATAATTAAAAGAATGCAAAGGTATTATACTATCATGTCAACTATATTTTATTGTTAAAATGTATTTATTTGACTAAGTTTAAGAATGTTTTTAAAATAGTTTTGGTTGACTATATTAAAATTTGTTTATAAAAACCGTTAAAAACCCGCAACACCTGATCATTCATTCTGAGATTGGGCCGCCTGTGGTCGGATCGCGGGTTCGTGAGATATTTCGCCAGCTTCCTGATACTGGTGAAGACAACGACCTTGATACACCTGTGACTAAGTTAAACGAATACTTTGAGCCCCCAAAACATTGTCTTTATGAAGTCTACAAGTTTCGTCAAGCGGCACAACGGAACAACGAATCGATCGATCAATGCTACACTCGCTTACGAAGCTTGGCATAAAGATGTGAGTTCGAAGACTCGGACACAGAAGGGCCACTTACGTCGGAAGCTTTGAAGTTTCTGTCCCCCTGGCCGCCATCTTCCTACGCCAGTGTTTAAGAGGGCACTCGACAGCGAAGCTAAAACGACGACTTTAAATGGTAGTCTTTAAAATACTATGTTATGAATAAAACAACAACGAGGCCAAGACAAGCCACAAGAGTATACTAACATGAAGTAAAGGTCGCCTAGGCGCGAACAAGATCCCAGGCGCATGTGATCTTTACTAACAACAAAAACAACTAAAAGCCACACTATGGCGTGACTACTTTTTGTCTGTCTTTCTCTACATATTGTTCCGAGAGTGTTAGTGTAAACCAATATAAATTTAAGCTATATATAAACGTTCAACTATGTAACAAACTCTTGCAGGTGAACGGGAGAATGGCGTTGGCGACTGGAGCGTCGAGGGGCAGGTGAATCTTCGGATGCAGCGGGGGTGGAGGGTGACTGGCAGGGGCTAGGAAGACTAG